CACTGATCCTTTACCCTCAGACACAGGAAGGACTCTTTTTTATTGAGCCATTTTGCTCAACCTTGAAATTTGTCCTCAAAATCCTATGTTGGGAATGGAATGATGCGGTTTGGGATTTACTTTAAAATATTCCAGAAAAAAAAAGAGTGGAAGTGGGTGATGAAACATGAAAGACAAAATGATAATAGCGGTTGAAACTAGGAGCTGACTATATAGGGGCTCGTTATACTTTTGTGTGTGTTTGGAAAATTCCATAATAAAAAGATTTTTTTAAATTATGTGTTAGGCAAAGGTGGAAAAATTATCCCCGCCAGGGGGCTCAAATAAAAACGTATTCCATTGGGTAGCACCTGGAGTTTACTATTTAATCTTCGTTTTCCAAGAACGGAAAACAACCTTGCTCCCTTTTCATTTCTCCGGAATCAGCCGGCCATCCCCATGCTTTCTATCCGGCAAGCTCCCTTTCCCAACCCATAAACTGAGCATCCAAACCCAAGGTTAGGGGCTGATTAATGGAGCTTCCGTACTCAGCTCCCCTGACCAGAGTGTAAATACCCGTAAAAACTAATATCAAAAGTTTTTATTGAGCTGCTTCGTTTCCTTGAGCATTGGGCCAAGCGGGGCTGGAGCAGCGGGACAAAGAAGAGGCGGCTGCGCCATGAGCAGCATAGGTCCTGCTTATCGGCTCATCGCGGGTCCCCAGAGCCAGCCAGAGTTTCTGGGGAGAACACCCCAACCAGGTAAATTCTAGTCCGGGGCTTGCCTTCCCCTGGGGACAGCTGTAGTTACAAAGCCGCGAGGGAGGGAATGGTAAGTGGTCGGAAAAATCAGAATGGGTAGGGAGACGCCAGCCACCCCGAAGTATGTCACCGGGCTGGTCCGACAGGGTGAAATATTTTACCTCAGGACTTGGTATGATGCCTGTATTTCACCCACATGACGTTAGATGCCTGTGTTCACTGTGTGGGTGCATTTGATGTGTGAATCTGTGTGTGCACATCCAGACACACACATCGTTATGATTACAGCACATAACATGCCTGTCAAAGTCTGATCACACCTTGGCGTTCTCTGTTCTGGGTCCCCCTTCCTCGTGGCTGCGCTGGTGAGTTTCCTTCCCTCAGTTGCTCTGCGCATTAAGAATTCTCAACCCGGGTCAGGAACGGAGGAGTCTTCAGGGTTCTGAGGAGAGAGGGACCGACGCGGGCCCAGGCCGCTGGCCGCCTGGTTGCCTGCATCGCTTTCTCCGGAGAATGCAGGGGCTCCATGGGACCAGGCTGACGTCCAAACCCCCTATTTCCTTCAAACGCTCGAAATGTCCTCGGTGTATTTGTTGACATAATGAATCCACAGTTCAGCACTGGTTTCCTGTTTTGTTGTGAGCGTGAGCATCAAGCTAGGATGGGGGGTGGAGGCCGGCGGGGGCGGGAGGGACTCCTTTTGGGCAGCGGCAGAGACAGACAGCAACCGGGACAGAGCCCTCTCGCCTTTTTCACGTCTGCAGCCCCCGGAATTTCTCGGGCCGTCCTGCGCTCTCCCAGCGCCCTGGCCCAGTGACGGGGAGCTCACTCCCTGGGCGGCATGGGCCCCGCAGTCCAGACGGTCAGTACCCCCGCGGGGCCGCTGAAGACTGCGAGGAGGCGTTTCCTCCTTCCGGCTGAGCGCTGCTCCGAGTTCCCTCTGCTTCTAACGCATGCTCTCGTCATTTAAGCGAAGGCTGACTTTCCAGGTCCAGTCAAGCCAGTCAAGCGCAGAGCAGCGGCGGCGCCGTCGGGGCAGGCGGCGCTCCCTTCACCATCGCCACCACCCCTGGCGGCATCATCCAGGCCTCCCCGAGCCCGAGGCAGCGGATCTCAGGCGGGAGCGCGCCCCTCACTCCAAGTTTGCGCCAACCCTAGGAAGTCTGGGCGCCGCTGGCTGGCACTGTGCGGGGGGTGGTGGGGGGGTTTGCTCCTCGAGGGATCCCGGGATCCGGGATCCGGGGCCGGTTGTTCAAAACGAGAGGGGGGGTGCTCCTTGCTTAGGGACTTTCTGGGGGAAGCACTGCAGGGCAGTGCTGGAACTAGAGTCCTCCCTGGACTTCCCCTGTCCTTTCTGAGACGCTGTGCACTGGTGGCCTTGAAGGCCTGATACGGGAAGGAACCCACCAGGCAGCGGGAGAGCTGCTCCTTCAAAAGTTTATTCTTAAAATCCACCAGCTGAGGGAATTTTCAAGGCAGGTGGGATTTTCATGTGTCTTCCTGGACCTTGCATTTCCACCCACTTTCACCATGTTAGCATTTAGTCACTACAGTGCCAAGTGACTTTCCACAGTCCCAAACTGTCCCTACAGCCTTGGGCTTTTTGCTGCCTCATTAATGCTTCAAACACACAAAAATCTAGAACAAAAGCTTCAGCAAGTGACTCAGGATGCACCATTTCCCTGCCTACCAGCCAGCTTCGACCGACGTTTCTTCAGAACCTACCCTTTCTCCTTCAGAAAACAAGTACAGCATCTGCCCTAGTGGGGACAGAGGTGGGGAAACTAGCAAAGCCCACCAAGAACAGAGCAGATCCCCACTTGTCTCTTTCCCAAACCATCTGGTTGACTGCAGATTCAAAGGTGCTATCCCGTTTGGGTGTTTCTGTTTCTCTCTCTTTCCCTCTTAGCTAGCCTCAGCTTCTCAGCCATTTTTTCCCCTCTGAATCTTTCTTCCTTTGCCATTATCTCTGCGCCCCCACCCCTCCTGCGGTGGGAAAGAGAGGGTTAAGATGTTCTGCAAATGCGGCTCGTAAAGCTGCTTGGATACATTAGAAACACATGAATATCCTGAAATATAAAGTGTTTTTAAAACCAACCAAGGAATGTTTATCCTAATGCTGGTTGGATGTGGAGAAATAGTGCCAGGGAGCAGTGCTGACAGTCTCCTGGGAGTTAAAGTGAGAGCAGGTAAATTTCATTTGCTAGTGAAAATCAAACTCGATTAAAACCTGGTTTCCCTTTGTCCTTTTCTCTTCCAACCCTGGGAGCCCAGGGCTCCATTGGCTCAGGGTGGCAATGAGTCCTCTGTCCCCCAAAAAACCCAACCAAGGTCTCTTTCTTTAGCAGGAGGCTCCAGGGCAGCCAAAACCACGCAGGGTACCCCAGCGTACCCTAGAAGGTAAGAAGCCATGCTTGCCAAGGGTCTGGCAGCTCCTGGAACAAAGGCCAAGCCTCTGGGCTGCCGCCCTCCAATCTTGTCCATGCTGCCTGCTCAAGGCTCCTCGGGGGAAATCAGGGAGCACCAGTCACAGCCCATCGCCACCCTTGCCGCCCTCCTGCTCAAGGGGCCACTGCCGCTCACAGATTCCAATGGGTGCCCTGACTTCCCCAGCCAAGTCCACACAGGGTCTGAGAATAAAACTATCATTGCCAGGATTCAAGTTGATAGCGCCTCCTGGCAATCCCATAGGAATTCCTGAGCCTGGGAGACAAAAAAGCAGAAGGACGGCTCAGACGGTCAGACCCAACTAGCTGGGCAGACAAGTGAGTCTTGACCTTGCTGCTGGGAAAAGAGGAAGAGCGCTGGGAGAGTCAGTGCTTGCTTCCAGAGCACACTCCAGTTCTTCACTGCTCTCCGACCTTTATTTTTCCACAGCAAGCGGGTTTGATGGCTGCCTGGAGGGCTAAGAGGCTAAGAAAGGATACTGGGAACCATTAATGAATCTCTTATGTCCCTCCGCAAAGGACAAGAAGGGAGAAGAGAAAGATTTTCTTGCTTCAAAGTGAGTAGAAATTTTAGAAACTGAGACCCAAAATTATTCACAGAGCTCATTCAAATTCTGTAAACCATCCCCACTGGTGGGTGGCTACAACTCACTGTCTAACAGGACCTGCAGACTTTTCAAAACAGTAAAGGCATGCCAGGATGCCATAGACTTGCCTGGTAGAAAAATCATTTAATATTTATCAAGATCCAAGACAAGAAGGAAACCAGCAAGCTGCCTCCCTCTAGGTAACCATGTCTCGAGAGTTTTTAACAGTTGATAGGGAGATATGGGGAACTAAGAAAACATGTGGATAACTTGTTCACTAAAGATATACCACAGAGCTCAATAAATAATTCAGGCCTGAAGCCCTTCCTTGGCCGGGCCGCCAAGTTTAGGGAGCAAAGCCTAATTTGAGATGCAACCCAAAGGCTTCCCCCAGCGCCATCCCTCCCAGACAAACCTGCTTGTGGCTCCTCAGCGGACAGGATGAAATCTTGTCTCACCATTTTTGGTGAGGAGGCACCCAGTCGACTTTAGCAGTCTGTGGAGCTGGGGCCCTTCCTCTGCGTGCAGGGCTCGGTCTCCGGTGAAGTGGGGAGCGGGAGGGAAGAATGTGGAGCTGGCCTTGGCCGCTGTGTGCACCAGCAGCTGCGCCATGGCCAGAGGTGAGCTGGCACAGGCGCCGGCTGGTGGGGGCTCCCCGAGCTGTGTTTTCGTTTTTCCGGGTCTGGCTGGAAAACAGAAGAGGCTCGAAGCCCGGGCCAAAAGCAGGGCGGAGGCAGAGAAGAAGAGTCTGTAAACACCGCCCCAAAAACTCCACAAAGGCAGCAAAAAACGCTGGGTAACCAAACGGAGCCAGAAACAGGAATTCCAAAGGAAAAAGGAGTCAAGAACCAGGGGAGGTGGGCGGTGGGCCTGGCTGCCTGGGTCTCCAGGCTTGCTTGGCAGTTCTCAGCTGGCTAGACTGCAACTTTCAACTTGACCTTGGCCTCCAGCAGCGTCTGACCTGTATGTAAAACAGCCTTGGAGTCCTCAGGAACTGGGGCCTCGAACCCTATCCTGTCTCTTTGTCACCGTGAGTTTTACAATGCCACTTGGAAGAAGGAAGGGGGGTGAACGGGCCGGAAAGTAACACAAAAAATCAGGTCTCTACAGAGGCCAGTTCCTTAGTCTGCAAGTGGCCAGTCAGGGAGGAGGTAAACTGGGGGCAAATCAATATTTACCCGGAGCTACTAAAAAGGCAGGAGGGAGAGGGCACACTGGGTATGCGTATGGTGGTAGTGGGGGTCATAGAAGGTTTTATTGGGCAACACTTAACACTGGTCCGGGCAAACCCAGGGATCAGGGAGGATAAAAGCCGGAGCCCAACCTCGTTGGTCCTGACCCTGCAGGAAGACCAGGAGCCTTAGAAAGCAGACCCGGGCAGAGGGTAGGGGCTGGGGATATTTGCAGTGCGCTGAGCTTAGGGCTGAGTCTGCAAGCTGGGACCGGAGGGCAGGTCCAAGCCTGGCTGCTCACTAGTCCACCTGGGGTGGAAGGGGGTCCAGTGCTCTCCCCAACCCTGATGTTCCAGTGGAATGCACCCACTTTCACTTTGAATGCCTATTCCCTTTCTAGGCATCTGATCAGCTCACAGTCTCCACAATTGGAAATGGAAGCATGTGGCCCCACAGTGACAGGACCCCCAGAATCCCTCACTAAAACATGGTGGCTGCTTGACTCTTCCAGCACCAACTCCCCACTGTGCTCTCAGGAGAGGGTCGCATTTCCCAGGCGCAGAGGAAAGGCTTCTCAGGCTGGCTCTTGGACAGACAAGGACCAGGCACCCTCTGCAGGCTGGGGAGTGCTCTCCCCAGTCCTACTTGAGGAGAAGGTGTGACGTGGCCCCAAAGAGCCCCTTTCTCCTGTCCCAAAATGGAATGAAATAGGGAGTACCCAGGTGCCTGGAGAGTCAGCTCCTGCCCAGGCTCTATGAAGTCTCATTAGGCCCCAGAAGGGGGGCTCAGAGTCCCAGCCAGCACCCAGCTGTGGCCTGTTCCTCTTAAACCCCTTCCAGGACAGACCAGCCCAGCTAGAGATGTGGGAGCGTGGAGATTCATGCACACAGATCCCTCTCTCCATCTCAAAGTCTAGAGGAGGAAGGGTTGTTACTGGGGCAGAGTGAGGAACAGTCTGTATAAATAAGCGTGACTGTGTGATCAGGGTACACTTGAGTGTGTGTGTGCGTGTGTCAGTGTGGGTGTGACGGGTCGTTCTGAACCTGTGGGCCTAAGTTCGAACGTATGATACACTGTGGACAGGGAAGGGGAGGGAGTTCCTAATTGCAGTCCAAGCTTTCCAGTGGAATGTCCTGGGACCCACGAGCCACGGGCATCAGCAAATGCGCCGCCACTGTTTCCCTAGAAAGAGAGCCAAATCGCGACGCTGTCGAACACGAAAGCGCTAGCGTCCGTGCTGGGGTCTCGCTGCAGAAAGACACGCGAATACCTGGAAAGAAAACATTGCCGGAGGCCCCAAGAAATACCCAGCCTGGACTACGCCTAGCTACTATCCCATCCCCAGCCGCCCGCAGATTTAACTGACCTGTGCCCACCGCCTCAGGTCGCAACCCGCCAGCGCGACCCAGTCCCCTCCCCGCCTTACGAGGCTCTGGGCCTCACTGGCATAGGGGAAGGGAAGGGGAGCTGCGAGGAGGCCTCCCTTCCCTCCCTACCCCACCCGCCCGTCCGTCCGCCCCC